ATAAAACACCCACCCAAACCACTTTTTGGGATGCATCTGGTAGCATGACATTTATTAGGAATAAAGACTTCTGAGTTCTGGTGCATCTGTGCATGCAGGGGTCATTATGTTACCTCTAAGCGGTATCTAGTTTATGGAAGGACTTCAGCCAGAAAGCATATCAAACATTTGAAACTCTTTAATGGAGAACTGAAGCGATGCATTTTGTGTTCAGGGAAACGGAGTACAGGAAATGGAAATGTTTAAGAAATCGCTTCAGGGGCTCCTGTGATAAAGTTAAAMAAATAATCCATACTTACAAATTTTAAGTCAGAGTATACCGCTGAGACAAACAGAATGTTCTTCCAACTCGTAGGTTTGCTGTCATGAGACAATATTTACTGTGTACAGAACATTGTGTCACCGAGAGGATAAGTTACGAACAAAATAAGTGACAGCTTTCACCCTCAGCTGTAAACAATAATATTGATCAATAACATTTAAAGACCTCAGTTAGTGCTTCTGAACTTCCCCACTAAATTTAGCAAATGTTAAAAAATGGCTAAAGCACTAACAAGGAAATTAGTTCCCTTGTTAGTGCTTTAGGGGAACTGTACCCACTGAAAATACTGTATATGAAAAGACAATACATCCAGGTATTCATTTTTGAAAGTTTCATTAAAATCTGTCCAGCAGTTTATGAAATATTTTACTAACAAACAGAGCTGACCCCAAAGGGTTAAAAGCAAACTTTTTAAACAAAGATTTTATGCAATCTATTAACGCTCCAAATATATGCTGGGGCTCAGTCTTCACCACTGAAACCAAATTTTAGGTCAATAAATGGAAAGTGTTTTGAGTCATAGGAATACTGTTTCTTGAGATCAGTTGCCTGCAGCTGTCGTCTTCAATCACACTGATTCCAAAAGTTAATCAGTTGTAGTTCTTTCAAGGATTAAGACCTTTAAGAAGGTTTCATCAAAATTCATCCGGGGGCTCATGACSGATTTTGGTAAAAGACAGACAAACATTATCRTCCACCTTTTCCTTTCGCTGTCAGCCAGTCATCTGGTGTGGATATATCTGGGATAAAGTTCACAGGAAGCGGAGGAATAACTCTGTCAGCCAATCACTGTGGAGTGCTGAAACCTCTGGCTGCAACTGATTTAAGGGCGAACACACATTTGGCAAGCAGGCTGTTCTTTTTTTTCCCTCGCAGCTTTTAGAACGCAAACAAAATTCTTTTAGTGAACGAAATGAAGATATTCAAGCCTGAAGATTGTTGGAGTGTTATCTGAGATTTGTACTTACTTTTTCTAGTATAACCATTTCTTTCATGCACACTGTGAGTGTTGGAAAATTCACAGACAATTCATCATGACTAAGCTAATATTACCTGAGGGCATTCTGACAAGCAGTCAGGCTGAAATGCTGACAAATCTTAGTCATGGAAGCTGATATCTGGCTGCCCCTCTTATCATTGCTGCTGCACTTTACTGTCCGGCCTTCTGGTTGTTAAGCTCGTGTGTCTTTCCACAGAGTGTGCCTTGGAGGATGAATCATACGAGGACGGAGCCGAGACCCAGGTGGAGTGTAACCGCTGCGTCTGTGCTTGTGGCAACTGGGTCTGCACCGCCATGACCTGCAGTGGGAAAGGTCTTTGTCAAGTTTGTGCTCATAAGAATAATTTGTGGGGGGTTTATTTGGCTAAACGCATGCCCTTTGACCTTTTTTACGTTTTTATCTTCTCAGACAAACAGGCGGCTGCGGATGAGTCAGCAGATGATGGAGCAGAGATGACGGACGAGGAGTGGAACCTTCGTGTGGCTGAGCTCAACAAACATCAGGTCTGCATTTGTACAGAATGATAAATCTGTGTGTGCATTGGGGGGGCAGTCAAATAGTTTCTTCTGTTAATCCCATCTTTGTCTGCGTATTTCTGGGCTCCTGCTGGGCTGAAAGTCCAAGAAGTATCACCTCTATACACCGTGAACTCGGTGTCTGACACGATTGCTTGCAGCGTGTGTCAAAGAGCATTTGCAACACAACCAAGTCCCATTATCAGTAGCTTTATTACTCCATGCATATCAGGTCAAGCATTAGCTCAGAAACAATGCGATGTTACTGAAATTATAACAATAAAGTTAGGGCCAGATTTGAAACAGTGGACAGACAACTAATAAAAATTATCTTTAACCCTTTTTATAAAAATTAGAATAACATATTTCAATACAAATGATGGGTTTTTCTCTATTTTAAAACCAGATTACTAAATCTGCAAAAATCAAGCTTTGATCAGGACAAAACAGATGCATATCCCTAAATAATAAAATTTAAACTGACAGCCCAGCTTTATTTGTGCTATAAGAGAGTGCATTTTGTGAATGAGCTCATGATCCTTGCAAGCTAACTCTAGGGATCTGGCTTCTGGCCATTGCTGAGTCAGCAATGTTGTATTCTCTGTAATCCACAGAGAGGCGGCTTTAAGGTCACAGCAAACAAATGTCCCTCTGTGTGTAGGAATTTTGGCAGGTGCTCTCTAAAGTCGCCTTCAAAATACAACCTGGTCACCTAAAAAACTAAGGGTGCTGTAGAAAATCCACAGTTTAATTCATGAATTCTGTTTTCAAAGGAAAATTGGTTTTAAAAATGTATAGAATTTTTGCACATTTGCAAACATTTGAACTGTGCGTTGTATATAGGCAGCTCTGTAGGCAGCTTYGGACAGCATTCATTTAAAATGCAGTTTTAGTTCATCAGTCTACATGACCGTTTTTCCATTTCCTCCAAGTCTGTAATCAATCATTCAGACAGCAGCATTTCTGCATATTTTTGTTGTCTTTGTAAAGTTTTCTAGGATTTCAGTGATTAACTTAAATCCATAAAAACTTTTTGTGGGAAAAAGTTCCCATTTCCATGCAATGATCTATGTTTACAGAATTATAGTTTAATTAAAACAGCTTCAGTCTCAAACAAGTTTGTAAAACTTAAACTGAAACCAGCTCCTATGAGATGTCCAGATATTTGCAATCTTTAATTTGGACTAATTGGAATTTCTCCAGTCTGTGCTCTTTCAAATATACAGTATATCTGCAACAGATAAGATAATAATTGTTCACAACCTTTCTATAGAACCCCAATCAAAAAGAGTGTCCATTTAGTTGAAAAAAAAAAAAATTTAGTGATTTGAATGTGACTGTGGGTGTTTATACAAATACATACTTACCTTGTTATTTGTTCTGTATTTAATTACCATACCAAATTTCTTGTTTTAATTATCATTTGAATGTTTTCAAATGCAGGAGACAGCAGAGAAGATGAAGGCCAGCACAAAAGAGGTCTGAATAAGGACCTCATAAAAGAAGAGGATGGTGCCGTCGCTCTTCTTTCATACTTAATTTACTTTGAGTTTTATTAAACTGACTTTTCTTTTTTTATCTGCTATATTATTATTATTATTATTGTTGTTGTTGTTATCATCTATTTTTACAGTGTTTAAGTGTTTGCTGTGTTTGATTCTAAGGCAGTCAGAATGTAACTGGGTCGCCTTGTGTTCAGTACTGTTATGGTTGATTGTATTACTGTGCCCCCTACTAAAACTATGAGGGCTAGTTTTTACTACAGCTTTTCTATAGTTTTTTTAATTTCTATTTTTTATTTTTTTTTAGTTAGCATAAAAGTTGTCACTGTTTTAGACTAGAAGTCAGGTGATTTCGAGGATTTTAAAGTTAGGAGCCTTGAGGATTTCATTTGTTAAAATGGTGTTTCTCCATTTAAACAAAGTGAAACAAGAAGGTAAAACTACTTGTGCTTTTTAATTTTGTTGCCATTTAGAAATGCCACTGTAGGCCAACAACCATTGCACTTCTTTTCTGTTCATTTCTTTCTGTCGCTCTCACCACAATAGTCTTTATTTGTATTTTACTGCTTAAGTAATTATTTTAAAGCAAAAAAAAGTGTTTCTATGTATAGCATTGAGTTGGAGCTTATCTTGTTACCRTGTTATGCTTTGACAAGTCTCTCTGGTGATTTTATTTTATTATTATTATTTTTTTTACTTTTTAAAGATTTCTGTCTTGTTTTTCTGGGTTGAAGTCAGACAACAGCTCTCTGAGTGCACCAGTGAGACCTGATCTGAGTATAACATGGTGAAAACTGAAACCAAAGTCTTAATGAAGTGTTTGAATGATGTAAAATGTTTAATCCGGGTAAAGCATTACTCTGGACCCAGCAACAATACTATACCTGTGCTTTCAAAATCACTAACAGAAGGACTAGCCTCGCAGTCAGCTGAAGTAGCATAGATGCACCAGTAACCGGGTGCAAATAAAATGTGTGTTTGTGCTTTTATTGTGAATCTGAAAGTAGATTTTTTAAAGTGTTTATTTGTATCTAAATTTGGGATGTATGATGAGAAAAATCAGTGCCTTAGACCTACAAAAAGACTCGTCTTCTACCTTTGCCTCCACATCGGTTGTTGAAAGAATGAGCACGCTTTGCTGACGTTTATCGAAAACTAGTTAGTGCTTTTAAATCTGTCTCCTGAAAACATCTGAGTGAAATTTGCTTTTACTCGGTGTGAGCTAGATTTTTTTTTTCTTTGTGCCACTAAAAGTGCAGTTTGTAAGGAATGTCTGCCATTAAAACCCCTACAACACAAAACTGATTTCTCATTTTGTTTCTAAGTCTTGTTTTGATTTTTCTTTTCTGGTAAAATTTGATTTTACCAGGGAGTCTATTAACAGGATGTAGAACTGAGCGTTAGAAGCTAATCTAAGTATGGATTCCACACTATGGAATTCTACTTATCAGGCATCAGTCAAAGCACTGAACATTTTGAATTGTGATGAAATGTTTGTTGTATAATCAAGGTTGCTCAAACTGGYGAATCCCTAACAAATGCTCCTGGGTTCAAAGTACAACTTATTTGCTGTCTTTGCCCATAAATGTTCATAATTAGATATTTTCAGTTTTACATGGTCAGTAACTAACAATTGCTGTGAAAAATTTTAAGATAAATATTTGTTGACTTGTAAATATGGTAGT